GCTGGAGAGAAAAGGGTTCCATAATAGGACCAATTCTGTTTAAATTATCCATACTTCCGTTAGGCAGTATCATTAGAAGGCTTGCCTGAGCCCTCAGTAGAGACAGGTCGTGGCTGCACAGGCTCAAATGATACCCCAGCTGACATATGTAGCTTTGGCTGCGGCTGCACAAAGCGACAGAGGTAGCACAGTTGAGTAGGATGAATTGGTTGTGTGGACAAGAGATATTTTTTTTTGTATTCTTATGGTGACATTTTATAATCATAACTATCATTGATCAGTCATTCATCATTGTTGAATCTTATGACAGTATAATCTTTGTTTTATATCTATGGTAATCTGAGTAAAGATTAATGTATGCATATTATCATCATTTTAATCAGTCTCAAATGGTATCCACAGCATTGTATTCACCTTCCATAACTGGAGGGTCCAGCAGGACCTTGTTCTAATTCATTTGCAGGCCTACATCAGAACATGCACATAGAGAGTTATGTAAACACGCACGTTCGCATACACACTTATTTACACAGGGAGGTCGTGTCAGGACGTTCTCTAGTTGGACTCACAGAACTGCACAACATGACATGTCACACACACTTATTTTTCTCTAAAGTATCATCTGATGTTTGTATAAGGAGAACTTTGGACTATGGGGAGACTGTTATCATTTCCAGTAAGGTCTAACTGTGTGATGTCATCATGGGTTATATAAGGATGGGGAGCTGTCCACTCTTTGGAGAATCTGTTGCAAGTTTTCTTCCCACACTTCTGTGCAGAGTGTGTAATTAAAGATCTCTATTTTGACGCCTCCCTGGACTCAGCCTGCTTTCTTCTCTTACCCAAATCGAACGAATCTTAAAAATTCTTGGTGCCGAAACCGGTTGGGGAGGAGAGGAGCGTGCGACTGTGGCCTGGAAGGTGCCAAAACGAACGGAGATCAGCAGCTTATCTGAGTGACAAGCCAGGCGAAATAAAAGGTGAGAGTGCCACCTGTTGATGTTTATCCAAAGGCGCTAAAATTGGAAGTTAAAGCTAAATTTAATTAAATAATATTCACTCAGTATAGGCTTCTTATGTCTGTTCATAGTGATTTTGGGGTAATTAGTGTTAAAACTTTGGGGAATATTGGATTGATTAAATGTATTGCTGTTTATTTTGGGGGCGAATATTGAGTTAAGAGGTTATGTTTTAAGTAAATAAGCGTGTTTATTTTGATGTGGGTTGAGGCCAGCCAGACAAACAGTAGTTCAGGGTATTTGGTTTGTTTGACCAGCAGAAACGCGGTTTCGGGCGTCGAAATAACTGGGGGCGAAGACCCCGCAGTGACGCTTATAATACACTTGAGTAAATTTTCTTAGGACGGGGGCGTGGCCCCTAAGGGCGCAGTTGCTCAGCGTGTGACGGCGACCCCTGATCGTGGACGCACGGCCAGGTTAAAGTTCGGGTGGTACCCGGGGGACTTCGGGCACCCCTTAAAAACTAAAGTGAACAAGGGGTTCAATTTCCTGCCTGCTTTCTTCTTACCCAAATCGAACGAATCTTAACAGTTGCCAAGGTGATAGTAATCTCGAAAAACCAGTAAAAGGACTGTGTCAGAGTTAAATCACAGTATGAGGCATAGGGTGCCAATGGTGGGAGCGCCGTTTCCTCTGGGAAGAGGGTGCCGGCTGGCTGAGCAACAGAACCTCTGGCAGGATGGCTCCCTGCCCTAGGTCAGGTACGTGGCAGGGTGTGGATTGGGTGGATTCTTTTACATTTTGATGGAAGCCAGTTAAGTCTAATAATAGATTAAATGCCTTGTTGAGGCTGTCATTTTTAGTATCTATATGAATGTTAAAATGACCCTGAACAGTTGTTTTATGGGAGCAAGCTATTAACAAGCTAGAGTAGACAGGCTAAACATATCCAATTGAGGAGGGGGAACAGAGGGTTGGAGTGCCATGCATTTCACGCTAGGACCAATTCTGTTTACATTATGCATTTTTCCCTAAGGCAGTATCATGAGAAGGAATAGCATAATAAAAATAATAATAATATTAATAATGATAATAATACATTTTATTTATAGGTGCCTTTAAGACCCTGAAGGTCACCTTACCATAGCACAAGAACAATAGCAGCAATACAATATAACAAACATGGCAACCAAAAAAAAAACAAGCACAATTCTGAATACATGGGTTTTGAGATGTGATTTAAAAGAGGTGAGAGAGTGTAAAGGCTTTGAGTCCCGTGGTAGTCAGGCAAGCAGGTGGAACAGACAGAAGAGAAGCTGAAGAAGAGTGAAGTGCACGAGCAGGTGAGTATGTAGTTCAAGTTCAAGTTCAAATTTTATTCGCCACATGCAGTGGCAGGTTTCCCTGCAGTGGAATGAACCCGCCCCTACACACACAACACAGACATCACATGAGGATATAAGTCAGAGAACGGTTGCATTACAGAAAACCACTGAAATGTACACTACAATGGGAAAGTACAAGAGGAAAAAAAGAGCCCTCTGCTCATGCTGGGCTATAGAGGACAGCATGAGAACAGGAAACAAAAAAACTCCTCTGCACAGAAAGCACATAAATGTCCACAGCACAACATTATAGAGCACGTGACCAGCAACAGGGTTGGGTAGGGGATAAGGAGTAATCCCAGGCAACACAGCAGCCATCCTGCCACTGCGCCGACTCTCCAGCGCGGGCCCAGACCCGCCTCGTGTTCCCAGGAGGCAACAAGCATTGAAGGCGTTGGAAGGGGAGGGGGGATGTGTGAGTGCTTATCAGTGTAAGTGATATGTGTGTGCGTGTCCAGAGTTCAGCTGAGACAGTGTCCTCCGCCCTATCAGGCTAAGTAAACAGTCTACCAGCCAACCCAGGTGGCCTTGCATGGAATGGGAAGGAACAGATAAACACAGTCGTTATCAGGGAGTTTTGTTCAGCTCCGGCCTTGAGACCGCAGCTGGCCCGAAGGGGTATCTGCATTATGATGGTGATTTTTCTTTTGCGACAACTCAGGAGAATTTCAAGCTGTTTTTAACACTCCGACACCGACACTGGTCTCTCAATCTCCCGTTGGATAGCTGCTTTGAAGTTTTGAAATTTAAGCTTAAATTTCAGAACTTACATTTTAACTACTGATTTTATCTACTGTTCTGATTTTATCTGTTTTGATTTCATATACTGTTTGTTGTTTGTTTGTTTGTTTGTTTGTTAATTTAGTTAGTTTGTTTGCTTGTTTTAATCAATTTTAAATCATGCTTTTTATTTGTTTTTGTTTCTAATGTCTCTGTAAAGCACTTTGAATCACCTTTTGTTGAATTGTGCTATACAAATAAACTTGCCTTGCCTTGCGAGTTTCTCCATGATGTTATTTACCTTCATTTCCGTGGTCTTTTCACTCTTTTGCTCAGAGAGCAGATTCTGAGACCTCACAACCGCAGCCAACTGATCCGATGTAATCCAGCTTCCCCCAGAGGTGTTGTTCCGAGTGGATTCTTCCCTGATGTAATCCAATATACGCTCAGAGGTGTTATTCTGAGTATTCACTGCAGCCGTTAGCGCCTCCAAGCTCTTAACCATGCTGCATTCAGTGAGCCTTTCTGAGAAGCCGCACCTCGTCCCATCGTTTCAATCCCAGCGGGCAGCCTTTGGGGTTTGAGCGGTCGTATTCTGTAACAGGCCAGCGTCCATAGACCCGTACATGGTTCCATAGGTAAACTTCGCTCTCGATCAAGTCCGCAGGCCAGATCTCATGTTGCCACTCCAGTATCGCGAAGTCTCCAGCACAGCTCCAGCCAGACTCGGAAGGGACATTCGGCCTTGCAATCTATCCTTTTAGTTAAGAAAGCTTGAGAAGTTTGAGGAAATACTGAGACAACAGGAAAGGTAAGAGATAAGAGGGAAGAGAAATGGACTGCCTTGCCAGAGCATGGAGGATCGTAAAAGGGACAGGTTATAAGCTTTGAATAGCGGTTAGCACAGGTGAATCGGAGCCAATGGACTGTAGAACGGTTTCATGGACAATCGTTACGAGCCGTTGAACTACTGCTTTTGATTATGAGTACAAGGAGGAATTACGTAATCACAGGACGACTTCAAACGGTCTGTGTAGGCGAAGACGGTTAATATTACGAAAGTAGAAGAGAGTGTTATTTATCTGTGAAGGAAGAGGCTTGAGATGACCAAGACTCTTAACCTGAGGGGAGGGTGTGACATCAGAGTTATCAATGGATAACGAAAGACTGGTTGGAACTGGTAGTCAGTTTTGATCTGGTGCCTATTAAAATTAATTCTGTTTTATTGCCATTAAGTTTAAGAAAGTTGTGAGTAAACCAGACCTTGATTTCACTTAAACAGTCAGAAATGGATGTGGGTGGGAGAGTAGCTGTGGGTTTGGAGGATAGGTAGAGCTGGGTGTCATCTGCGTAGCAGTGAAACTGGATGTTATGCTTCCTAAAAATATTACCTAGGGGTAGGAGATAGATGATAAAAAGTAAAGGACCCAGGACAGAGCCTTGGGGTACACCAGAATTAACTGGAGTAGATACTGATCTGTGAGGGAGTAATTGAACAAACTGTGAGCGGCCAGAGAGATAAGAGGTAAACCAGGTGAGTGCTGTACCATTGATGCCAATAGATGCCAACCTGTGAAAAAGGATGCAGTGGAAGATAGTGTCAAAAGCTGCTGTAAGGTCAAGGAGAATGAGGATGGAGATGAGTCCAGAGTCAGCTGCAAGCAGAAGATCATTAGTGATTTTTACTAGAGATGTTTCTGTACTGTGACATGAACGGAAGCCGGACTGAAACTGCTCGTACGAGTAATTTCCAGTGGGATGACGATGAACCTGTGCAGCCACTATCTTTTCCAGAATTTTGGCTAAGAAAGGCAAATTTGAAATTGGCCTGAAATTATTTAGATTGGAGGGATCTGAACCATTCTTTTTCAGTATTGGGGTTATTATTGCAGTTTTAAGAGAAGAAGGAACAGAACCCGATATAAGAGAGGAGTGTACGATATTAGCAATCAGTGGGGTAAGAGACGGGAGTGAGAGTTTAACAAGATTAGTCAGCAGTGGATCAACTTTATTTATCCATGAAGCCAGATGACACATACCAATTAGTTAAACTGCAGGAATGTCTTAAAGACATAAAGACCTGGATTGCTGCTAACTTTCTGTTTCTTAATTCAGATCAAACTGAATTTAGAAGCAGCCCTAAAAATCTTAGAAATATGGTATCTAAAGAAATCTTACTCTGGATGGCATGACCTTGGTCTCCAGTAACACTGTGAATCTTGGAGTCATTTTTGACCAGGACATGTCCTTCAATGCACATATCAAATAAATATGTAGGACTGCTTTCTTTTGAATGAGCTCTCCCCACTCTAGAGGTGTTCATGGGTGAGTAGAGCAAATGTGCTGCACCAAATATTGGTGTCATGTTTCTGCTCCTCTGGGCAGAGTCGACCTGGTTTTTTCCTGGGAGCTGCATCTGGGGCTGATTAGGAGCTACAGTATTTAAGACCAGCACACACAACAACTCTTTGCCATATCATCAGCTACCCAGCGTTAGTTCAGCCAACTCATGTACTTCATTGAATCTCATGCTTGTACTTACCTTGTTTCTCTTGTGCTTAGTTGTGTCCATGGATTACTCACTTCACCATCTACATTTCTCCTTCCACTCGGTCACTGGACTTTTACTGCTGTATTCTCCACCCTCACTCCGGTATAGACTCCATTCTTCTCACCTGCTTGCCTCTCTGCACTCACAATCGGACTTCTTCACGGATTGGAATACCTCAAACTCAACCAGACCTTCTCCAAATTTACTACATGTGCCGGCAGACAAGTAAGCTACCGGGAATCAGTGTCATTGGATAATCTTGCAGACCGTTTAAACCCTGCGCTGATACCACTCTCCTCTGTTACAGTCTCTTTGACCATCGATCAATTCCAGTGTCTGTGTTTTTAACGTGCCCCATGGGTCCATCCTGTTTCTGACGGCCTGTGCCATGACAGATATAGGCTAAGTTCCCAGACAAACCGGCAAGTGACAGTACTGAACTCTCTGCTCCTGAGTTTGTCAAGCAGGACTCAGAATCATGAGTTGTCAGGGTCTTTGCTGCCACATTCTGGGATTTCCCTTAGGATTAGACTGGCTGTCAATCAGAGACTGATCCTTATGTTTGTCAGTCTAAAGACTTTGAATCTGCTCTTTGTGTGCTGTGTTTTGAACCTGCCTGTAAAAGTGTTGTGCCGGCTGCTCCAAGCACTATGTCTAGCTACCTACAGCAAATTTTTCTGTAGTCTGTGTTTTCTCTCACTGAGCTAACCTCTTCAAAGACTGATGTTTGTATGGGTCAAACATGAGGCCAATACTAAGCCATCTCTTTTTCCTGTGCCAGCTTCCAGGGTGAGGTTAGCCAAGACCCAGTCTGCCTTAGCACCCGGACTAGTTCCACTGGTGGGGGTGGCTTGGGTTCAGTGGGTTTCTGCACCTGTGCCGGGTGCCTGCACCTGTGCCAGGTCCCAGGGCGAGGGTAGCTGAGACCCAGTCCCCTTCTGCACCTGTAACTGTTGGGTTTTGGGGAGGTTATTGTCCAACTAGTTTCTGTGCCTGCAAGCGCTGCAAAGCCCCAGCCAGAGCAATCAGAGCCTTTTGTGAGCCAGAGGTTTTCATGTCATCTGGCCCAGCCATGTCTCAGCGAGAGGTCTTAGTGTCATCTGGTTCTGTACTTGCCAAGCCTGCCACACCGAGTCCTGCACGTCTTGTGCCTGCCATGCCACATCCTGCACTGCCTGCACTTGCCAAGCCACATCCTGCACCATTTGCGCCTGCCAAACTGTCTTCACCCAGGCCGCGGCCAACCACCTGCCAAGTCATTCAAGGATCTTTGTCCATGCTGCCACTGACCACCTGCCAAGCTGCCTGAGGATGCTTTGTCTCCATCGCCATCGTGGCATGGAGCCTGCCATTGTGTTTTGTTTTGGACTCCTGTGCCCCGGGTTTTGACAACTAGTGATACTTTTTTGTATCCTTTCTGGTCTGTATCAGTTTGTCTCTGCTGGCTTCCTGTTAAATCCAGAATTGAATTCAAAATCCTGCTCCTCACAGGATTTAAATAATCAGGCCCCATCTTATGTTAATGACCTTAAAGACACTTCCGGTGCTGCTCCGAGCTGGCAGCCAGTATCAGCAGCTCCGACCTGAACAAATCCTTTTTTTTCTCTTTAATATATGTTTCTTTGTTGTTTGTGTTTATTGTTTTTGTTTTTCTATTGTGGACTGCTGTCCCCCACAATGGAGCTCAGAATTCTATGGACAATGGTGTTCTTTATTACATTTTTTACGGCGTCTTTGTCCGGAGAGCGCGTGGAGGTCCGACCTCCCATTGTTTACAGATCAGCTGTTAGCCCTCGGAGCCTCCGCTGCCCTGCCTACCGCCGAGCAAGCTAACATCCCCCGCGAGGTGAGGAGGAAGAGACGCGGTACTCGGGCCGGGATCGGGCGTCGCAGTAAAGTTAGGAGGTACCGGCCAGCGATTCCATCTATTATTATGGGGAATGTGAGATCTCTCCCCAATAAAGTAGACGAACTGGCGGCCCTTACCCGACATCAGAGGAGCTACAGGGAGTGCAGCCTGATGTGCTTCACAGAGTCGTGGCTAACTGCGCTAACTCCGGACTCACACGTAAACATGGATGGTTTTCATCTGATCCAGGCCGACAGAACAACGGAGAGTGGTAAGAAGGGAGGAGGGGGTCTGGCTGTGTGAACGATAGATGGTGTAACTCTGGGCATTTATCTATCAAAGAGACGCTATGCTGTGAGGACATTGAGCTGCTAGCGGTTAGCATGAGACCGTACCGCGAGAGTTCACACACGTGATTATGATAGCCGTGTATGTCCCGCCCTCTGCTAACGCTACAGCAGCCTGTGAGGTCCTGCACACTGTAACCAGCAGACTCTAAACACAGCACCCTCAGGCCCTTTTCCTGATCTCTGGGGACTTTAATCACATCTCCCTGTCCTCCACTCTCCCCACCTTCACCAAGTATGTTACCTGCCACACCAGAGACAATAAAACATTGCCAACACCAAGGAGGCATACAGCTCATCACCTCTTCCTCCCCTGGGGGGCTCTGATCACAATCTGGTTCATCTCCAGCCTGTGTATAAACCTCTAGTACACAGAGAACCAGTTGTGAAACGCACAGTAAGGAAATGGTCGGCAGAGACTGAAGAGGCCCCGAGGGACTGTTTCCGTTCTACTGTGTGGGAAACCTCTGCAGCCCCCTGGAGGATGACCTTAACAGCATCACAGACTGTGTAACCCATGGTTATTTTATTGCCAATTGTATTTTAATTTGAAGTGTTACTGTTTTGTTAAATGCTGAGTTTTCCCATGTACCGTGAATGCACCATAGCGCGTGCGTGGTGACTTTCTTTCACTGCATCCGCCTGCACGGAGCTAGATACGCAAAGCTGTGTGGCTATTCAGTCCTGTAACGTGTTGCGCTACGGAATTAATGTTTTCTTTGAAGAATATCCTGGTGAGTCTCACAGTTGCAGTTTCAGTTGTGCTTCATTGTCCAGTTTCTGAGCATAAAACCAGTCAGGATACAATGCTTGTCGGAAATGTGATGTTTGTCTTAGAACCTGCTAACGATTGCTTAGCTGTGTTAGCCTGTGGAAAGTATGCTAGCGTACCCACATGTGCTCCCTGGGCTAATGCGCTTACATGTGAAGTTTTAGCTAACACACCACGGAGACACTTTTCATGATTCATGATTTGCAGTGAAATGTATTTTGTTGTTGATAAATTGTTATTGGCCAATAAGAACTGTATAGATGTGTGAGGAACAAAAGGGATAACACTAGAGAAACACATGTTTTATTTTACAAGTGAGTGATTGCACTGCATGTTGTGTGCAGGCTGGTTTTTTGTTTATGTGGTAGAAATCTGCTGCAAGGACCGAGCGGTGCCATCTAAGGACTGGATGCCACTGGAGGTGCCTAGAAAGGACGTTCTCAATCTGAAGGCCACCTGTTTCCTTGGAGGGTGGTAGGATACAA